GCTGGACTCTCTCCAGTAGCTCTTCATCTTTCTTGAACTGGGGAGCCCAGAACTGGACACAGTACTCCAGATGAGGCCTCACCAGGGCAGTGTAGAGGGGAAGGAGAACCTCCCTCGACCTGCTGGCCACACTCTTCTTGATGCACCCCAGGATCCCATTGGCCTTCTTGGCAGCCAGGGCACACTGCTGGCTCATGGTTAACCTGTCGTCCACTAGGACACCCAGGTCCCTCTCCACAGAGCTGCTCTCCAGCAGGACCCGTAAGAGCTCTTTACACCACAAAAGGCTGATTCCTATTAACAAAATACGGTCGGGAAATGTCTGTGATAGCAAGATCTAGAACAAATAAGAGAATTCCTACTCCCAGAACACTGTCAAAGGCGTGTGAGAAGGAGCAGTTTCTGATTTCTGCTTTGCCCTCTTCTCTTGACTGAGCCCTCATACTAGACCATTGGAGAGGAGGAAAGAGCAACCGGTCCATAACCTGGTCTGCTGTTGCAGATCTCTGTTGGGTAGAGGACTGAAGGGAACTTTTTGACTGGGGCAGATATTTCTATAGTACATGCTTTCTGTGGGAGGGATTAGCTGCATTTCCCCCCACAGCTGAGTGACCAAGGGAGAAAGTTTAGATGATGGAGTCTGAGATGGAGAAACTTCTCTCCAACTCTTGTGACAACTGGAAGAAAAGCTGCCTGTTGATTTTTGAATATTAATCCTATTGTACTCCCCACCCCTACAACTCGCTTTGAAATGCTGAGGTTTCCAAGTTAATGCCTCTCATTTCTGATCATTTCTCATTTTCGTGAAAGAACAGTGGCTATGTAGTCTTGATATTGAGCAGCAGCAGTAGAGAGGTTAATACCTGCATGATTATCTCTGTGGGTTATATTTTGAAAGACACTTCCCAGGAGACACCAAGAAAAGCCTCTTTCAAGGACGGTGGGAAGGCCGGAGTGGGAGGCACCTCGCACATTTAGCTGTATGAGTCCCACCGCAGCTTGAGCAGAGGGGTATCTGAAACACTGCATAAGCAATCCCACAAGGTACATTGCCTTATAGTGTGCATGCCAGAACAAAATGCTGCTTTGGATTCAAACCTTATTATGATGCCTGTATAATAGGAATGAAACACGTTGGGCAGTAAATGGAAATCAACGGTGGTCGCTTTCAATGTGTGAGTGTAAGAGGACAGGATTATAGTTGTACAATACCTTTAAATCTGAGTATTTTGAAAGGTTGCTGTAGCCAAACTTACTTGATTATACCCCATAAAAATCTCCATTTGGTTGGAAGCCGAGTGCACTAGTACAGATGGGCCAGACTCGTGCTTGTTCTCAAGGGCAGCTTCATACCTGTAGTCCCACACTTTGCTCCCCGCGGGCAGGGGGGCACAACTTGGGGTCCACCCAGGACCCCAGACGATGCAGCTGGGGCAGCTACAGCAGCCCACACTCATACTGGGATGACTGGGAGTTACTCTGAACAGTTTGAAAGCCTTGTGTGGCTTCCAGGCCACAATCTGGCTGCCTCTGGTGCTGGAGATCAAGATACATGGAATAAAATTAGGCTCCTGCTTCCCAGCATGAAAGCCTATGCCTGCCTCAGAGACTGAGGCTTAGTCCGTGCTGGTAGCTCTTTATAGCTGTGCAGGGCGCACTTTGCAGACCATTAATTATCTCTTTGCTTTCCTATCTGTAGTCAAGGAAGGTTTAATCAAACTCATAAATTTTGGTCTGGGCAGCCTAGCAGGTTAGGTGTTGGGATTAAACAGTGAGGATTTTTCTTTCTCGTGAGAAAAAATGGCTCTATTTTAAATTTCAAAGAAATCCGATGCTCATGCCCAGATTTTCTTCCTAAGCGGTATGTACTCTTATAAATCCCAAAGAACGTTCCCTTCCAGAAGTTTCTTCTCCATCTAGCAATCAGTGTATTGGTATGCAGCTCTTGGAAATGCCACTTCCCTTTCTGGAGCAGTGTCACAGACATAGTGATTATATTAAAAGGTTCTGAGTGATCCTAAGATACCTGAAGGTTGTGTGGTCTGAGGAAGAGTTTCCTCTGGTTTTACATAAGTCTTCATTTGTGCATATGGTACTTTGAACAAGCTTATTTTTTATATTTATATATTTTATAAGTTTTAGATATTTATATTATTTATCTGTATATTTAGATACCTAAGTCTATATGTATACACAGAACATAGATGGCATATTTACTATTCTAACCACTTTGAAACCCATGACAATGTTCCTGCTTCCTGGTTTGCCACTGCAGATGCTGCTTGCTCAGCGTTTTCACTGTTTATCAGGCAGCTGCCTTGCTCAGACCTTTGGAGCAGGTGAAATGCTCCCTGAACAGGTCCTGAAGGGACTTCAGCCACCTCAGAAGTTACAGAGAATTTTTGCTCCTGTTCCATGGGACCTACTGAGGTGGCTGAACGACTCTCGCTCCCTGTCCCAATCAAAGTATCTAATTTTATGCTAAGGCTGCTTCAGTTCTTTGTCTATAGCGAATGCATTCCATCACCACGAGTGGGGAGTGAAGAGAAGATGCCCTTCTTGTACGTGGTGGTCTTGTCTTTTTGGTACCAGGTGCCAGATAACAGTTTTGGGTCATCTCCTTGGGTCTCCTCAAGAAACAAAAGCCACTGTGCAGACACTTGTCCTTCCTGGGGTGAGGAGCACAGAACCAGCTCAGGCATTCAGCAGTTGGTTAGATTTCTTCTCAGATTTGAGTTTGAAGTGAAATACTTTTATGAACAGATATATGCTAAGGAAAGGGTCAGCATAGGAATGTATTTCTGGAGGAAAAGTGTTAATAAGCTCACCTGTGTAGTCTACATCTGCTGCCTAAAATGTTTGCCTCATCACCAGAAGCATCTTGTATTCCTTCACATCTTGCTTGCAATAAAGTACACTTCATAAAATGTTTATCTTGTTGCCTGGTAGAAGTGCAAAAGTATTTTCTGGGTGGTTGACTTATGTTTTCCAAATACCGATCCAGAACACCCCACCCTGGACAAACACGAGGTCTGTTTTTCTTCCGATACGGAGAGCTGCTGACGTTAAACACGGCTAATACTCTGTGAAACGAATTTTCAGCAATGCTGGAGAGCAAGCCCCCCTGAAAGCCGGAAGGATTTGAATTCCTATATTATTTCCAGGTTTTTTATAATCCCATGGGATCTTAGTATGACGAAGAAAGGTGCAGCTGTTGAGAAGATGCCTGTTCTGTCTGAGTTTGTGACAGCAAGGGGAAATCTTCTCCCCATTAGGTGATACAGCTGGCTGCCTTGGAAAAAAAGCGTGTGGCCCGTTTGGGACTAAAATTCTTCATACAGAAACCCAATGACAGACAAAAGTGTTTCTCCATATTACAGCCAGAATAAGCTTTTAAAAATTGTTGCTGGAAACATACCTTAAGTCCACCAGACAGTGAAAGTTGGAACGTAACTTGTTTGCTTAACTCGGCGCTAGTACAATAAATGACTTGCATAAGGCAATTCGTTTACCATTGTTCAAAGAGCAAGGATTATACAAACGGCCTATTGTGTGTAGTGCTTTCTGGTGGTTTAACTTCCTTGGATCGAGAATGATTTAATGAAAGACCACAACTCAATTCCTGGTCAGAATTTTATGGGAAATTACAAGGCTGCATTGTCAAAGGTGCAGTTTGTTGCCTCCTTTCATTTCAGCTTCGTTAACCTTGGAAAATGAGGCCACAATATTATTCTTTTTTATTATTATTATTATTGTTTTATCCTTCCTCTTGGTCAGATTGGCAGGTTTGTGGTCAAAGCAAGATTTTCCTCCAGACCAGCCTGCAGGACCCAGTGGGAGATTTTTGCCCGCCTCTGTTGCACAGAGCCATTTATTGCAGTAAACTAGGATTTTTAATCTAACACCTGCGATCGTGGTGGGGAACACTGGCAATCCTTTTGGTCCCTCTTTCCCAAGGACTGTGCTACGTCATTGTCTTTGCAACTTTTGTGCCAGGAGCTGAAGATGTATGATACCATCAAAGCTGTGGAAAACAGGTGTAGCTTATCAGTCGCTACAGCAACCTATAAATTATTTCCCTTATTCCGTTTTCCTCCTCGCAGGTACCCTCTGAGACGAGGCAGCTCTTTCACATTTCTGACTCCGGGACCACAATGGGACTTCACCCTGGTGAGTAAAACAGCTGGTGGGTTCATATCGCAAAAGCATGCAAACAAAAGCAGGAATACAGAGGTGAAGGTCCCTCTGCCTGGAGGAGAAGGAAAATCGACGCATTCTTCTCTACCTGACTAGACACTTTCTGAGACTTCTGAGCTTCAGCTGGAGGGTGATTTTTGCTCACAGGGATTAAGAGAAAGCAGGATATCCTGGACACTGTATTCTCTTTATAAACTTGTTCTTTTCTGATGCGTTTCAGTCCTGCTAGCTAAGCTGGCAATGCAATAGGCAAGATGTAAAACATAGTGTAGAAATAAACCTTTGTTTTTTTCTTCTTAGATACAAAAACCTGTACTTTATTTGGTGTAGAGAACTACCTAGAGCAAGTGCATGGCCTTGTTGCCTTGCACTCTCTTCTCTCTGTCCAATAACGTGCATCCCTTACTATGGAAGTGGTTCATATCCAGCCTCTAGATCTGGCAGAGAAAGATGGACTGCTCTGGAGAGTGGTTCAGAGGACCTGCACTGGGTTTCTGCTCTGAACTGCTGCTTCATGAAGTGTCCCTCCTCATACACTGAGGACTGCGAGGCAATTAATCAGCTGAAGTGGGTGCATAGCACCTGGTATTGTGTATATAGGTCTTGTCCCATCTTAAAGCTCCCTTTCATGAGCTGCCTAAGCTGATTTGCCCCCCGCTACCCCTGGAAGCGGTGATCCCATGCTCAGCCAGCAAACTGGTCTGGCTGAAAAACTCGCCTTACCAAAAAGAAAACAAAGAGTTTTGGATGAGCTGAGCCAGCTGACTGCACAAGCTGTATGGATGCCTGTGTCGGCATGAGGAAGGGCGTGAGAACGTGTCTGGAGGTGGGGAAAAAGACAGGACTACCTTTTTACGAAGGAAATCCCATCTAAAATCAGCTGGAGCTTCTTGTGAAAGCACGCGTTTAGACAGGCGCTTTGCTGGCTGTGCCTTGAAGGGCAGCCATGTGCAATTTTGAGGCTGCACAACCACCAGCGTGGGAGTGGATTAAACAAAACCAAATTCTCTAGTAGATTTTTCTTTTGCCTGTTTTTACAAACTTTTCATCTGGTGATTACAGCTACATTAAACATATACATTTGAATATTACAAAGCTCTAGAAATTATATTCTTTCAAATTTGAAAATATTGTGCTCTAACATCACAAATTAAAAGCGTTTTGACTGAATTTCAAGTTATTCCTGTTCTTTGTATGTTTTTTAATCTGCTTTTATTTGGCTATACGCATATTCAGTTCAACTCTCAGTTACAGTTAGAGCATATTGTATGTCATGACACAGACTGCAAAAACCAAAGAAACTGTTTTTGAAGCACTTAATTGCTTATCTGCATGTCTCCATTATGTCCCTCATCAACCTGGTCCACCGCCACCTCTCCTTTCAAGCCCAGGTAGCTTCATTTCCAGCTGCAGATGGTGGGTAGCCCTGAACTCCAGCCATTTTCTGGACATCCAAGCTTTCCTGGGGCTAGCTAGAGGTTAGTCTTGGATTAATGCCCCTAACACTGGAAGAGAAGTAAATACAGGAAGGACAGAATAACGAAGGAGAGCGCATAGCTGTGCGGTTCAGTCGCCCAGCAGACATACCCTTACTGCGTGGCCGGGGACCAGGTCTCCTCTCAGAGGCTTTGCCAATGTAATTACACCGGCACACCTTGACCAGAGCGCTGGATTTTGACAGCAGCCTGTAGGCAAGCAAGAACTCTACTTTTCTTGGTCTCATGTCTCTCGTGTTGGAGTGTGTCACACAGGGTTTTTTTTTCCCCGTGAACACCAAGTACTTATGTGCCAGTCACAAACAGCATCTCTTCATGCCATAGTTTGTGCAGCTGTTTGGCCAAAAGTCTGTAAAATGTCCCTGGCTTGAGTCTGAGGGGAAGTGGGTAACTCAGCCAAGGGTCCTTTTCATGCCCAGAGAGGTGGGGTGGGTTTAAAAAGAAGGACTAGTGCTTGGTCTGCATAATTCTAAGAAAAGACTAACGCAGCTTTGCTTAAAACATCTTCTGGATGGCTTCTGACTGGAAGCAAGGTTACTCACGGTCTGTTTTCCTTTCTTCCTTTTCATTAAGGGAGGATTCATTTATGAGAAACAGGCACTTGATCTTTGTTGACTTAACGGTCCTGATGCACATTCCTCACCTGAAGCCTTATTGGTGTTTTATGACTTCAGGTGGGCAATAAGCAGCAAAAAAACCAGACTGATCCCTAAAGAACAAAATACCCTGGTTTTAGGCAAAAGCCCTTCGTAGGAAAAAGGAAAACTAGATGACTGGAATTGTTTTCAAATTGAAAACCAGTACTTTCTTAAAAAGCGCTCCTGGAGCTTTAACCGGCGTCCTTGAAATGTAATTAACATTCATGCTCATGGTGTTATTTAGGTCTTGCTAAAATAAAGTCACAAAATATTTAGATTTCCCCTCCTGATTAGCGTTTTTTTATGCTTCTCCTTTACAATACCTCTTTGAGAGCCTAAACCAGCTCTCACGGTTTTTACAGTTTAATAACTTTCCTAGAAGTAACTTTTTCCACATGACTTGAGTTTCGTGAGAAGGTTAACGTATCAGATCTCTGATCGCGACCGTCTCAAATATGTGAGAAAACAGTACCGTAGCAATTGCTTTTTTATCATGTGGCTTTAAACGCCCAGATCTGAGCAGCCTGAAGAGGCCGTTCTCTTGGAATCTGTTTCGGTTCTGGCACCACGCAGGAATGATACAGCTGGCTCCGCAGTGAAACGTCTACGTTTTTGTATGAAACTATATTGGGCAAAGGAAATGGGGCCCAGCCAATGCAATACTTATTGCATAAGTCTAGCCAGTTTAAAAACAAAATTTTGGCCTTCCTTTCGTGTCTGGGCTTTGGTCTGGAGCTGTATGTTAAAGATGTTAATATACTTGACTACATAAGGAACGAATAATACTCAGACCAAAAAGGCGTGGTGTCTTTGTCTTTATTGCAGGGTTTCTTCTGTTAAATAGATGCTAATGTACTTGACTTACATATGGGAAAAATAATCTGCAGACCAAAAAGGTGTGGTTATAGCAGTCTTTTATTGCGGGGTTTGATAAATAACCAACGCTGAATATTTTGCTAAACCTAAAAAAACAAACGTCTGCATTTGCATGTGTTCTCAAGCCTGCCAAAGGTCTGTTCAAAAAGTATGGAGTGTGCTGGGACATTAATTTAGTGTCAATGCTATAAATATGGTAAGACATAATGTCTAATGTGAGAATTTTTTCCTCTCTAGTTAGCAAGTCTATCAGTGAACAGACTTACTCACGTGAGTCAGTGAGTCAGTCAGTATCTTGTCTTTGCAAATACAGAAAAAAAACAGGAAAGCTGAAATCACTGGGGAACTTCGTACTTGAATCCGCTTCTGTAGCTAGTCTGAATAGCTGAGAAAAAAACCACAGTGCCAAAATCCAAGATATAAGAAACTAGTGAGTGCACTTCTGTAATGTCTCACCATTACGTGTGTGTATTTAATAGCTAAATGGCAGAGTCAGCATAGTGTGGACAGGCGAGAAGATGCATGGGAGCCTAAAAACACATCCCGTGAAAGGACTAGCAAACAAGAGAACAGGTTTCTGAGAACCCTCCGGGGAAGCTGGACATCCCCTCCGCAGCATCAGATTTTCAAAGAAACCGTGGAAACTAGGCTGGTCAGCATTTAAAAATAATTTGCATGAATACTTGTATTCAAACATTTTAAACGCACTTACAGTGATGACAAACCTCTATTAAAGCTGAAACTTTAAAGTTATTTGAATATATTATTGAATTCTAAGAAAACAGGGTTTATATATTTGCTGCTGACAGAAGGTCAAGCTGCTGGACTGGTAGAGCAGAAAACTGAAATTTGCTGACGTTCTGAGTGGACTCATGGTAGGGGTCACCTCTGCAGCTGCAGAGAGGGTGTTCTCCTCATTTCACCTAGTTCAATGTCTTGTCTGTTCAACTGATAAACAACATGTAGACTAATTTAAAAATACAGACTAGATTCTTTTCTTTTTCCTTTGTGCTTAGTGAAGTGGAAGAGGATTAACTTGTCTCATTCCGAAATGCTAAAGGACAAGGGTCAAACACAGGATGAAAATCAGCTACTTGCTTCGTGGGTGCCCAAACAATTTATGCTCGTGACCCATGGGTTTTTTTTTCCAGACCAGCTGATTTGCAGGGTGGCACAGTCTAACAGGATGAGTCCACAATTGGTTTTCCGTTCTCTGGGTGTCAAAAAAATAATGTAGAAGCCCAGATAGTACAGAAATAGTGGGAGGTATCAGGAAGCTCGGTGCAGATGCCTTTCATCATTGTTCCACTGGCTTGGCTTGTGCTCTTCTTCAGATAGGAAAATAACTGAGAGCTCCCTGGCCAAAAGCCTCATCTTTTTCCACAAAAACGCTGATTCTGTGAGCCTGTTGCATTCCTCGCAGGGATGCTGCAGCCACAGCTGTCTACTGGCCACGTCCGAAGTAATGAATTAAATAGGTGATGGAAACGCTCTCATGTACACACATATTCAGCTGTTTATAGAGAACTGCACTGAAACAAAGCCCTGATACACGGCAAGAATTCCCCAAATAAAATACATTTGGGTAGTAGAAGGTAGCTGAGGAGCAGAAACAACAAACCTAGCGCAAAGCTGCTTTATGCTGGCGCTGTACCCCGGGTGAAATCAGTGGATCCCCTCACTCACAGACCCCTGCCTAAGCCCAACCACGCTGGTGAGCAAACGTCACCAGAGTTAGGCATGGTATCTGCTGGTGTCCCTTAGAGACCTCAGATCCTAATGACCACCTAGCCCGACCTTCTTGGTACCTAAGTCTTCCAAAAAGCCCAACTTTATTGCTGGATTGCTGATCTCAGAAACCACAAAAAAGTGTTTCATTTAACTAAATGAATCTCAAATCATTTCACAGTGGTAACCGCTGCATTCTGTCCTGCTGCTGAGATTTCCCACCGAAGACTTTACTCACAACCTCAGTTACGGGAGTGCAGAGAAATCAGTTTATAGGCATAGAGTTTATAGGTATTGATCAGGTGACAAACCTCATGAACCAGCATCAACATGCTTCGCATTTGTTTTCAGCCTTTCCTTTTTTGAGTTGGGGTGTAAAGAAAGAAAATCATAAAGTCTGCTTTATGAAAAACAGAGCCTTCTTTCTAAACAGAAGTGGAGTGTACAGCTATAACTCCATTTCATTGTTTCATTTCTTACAGAAGAGGAAGCGCCGAGAGAAAGACGACGATGTAGTCAGTCTTTGCAGCCTTGACTTTAAGGTAATGAAAACAGGCTTCTCCGCAATATTGTGCAATCATCTACTTTGTCGACTACGGTGGCTTCTGCCGGGGAACGCCGTACTTTCTGTGTTTGCATTTCACCATCAACAGTTTAGAGACGTGTACAGCTGTGTTTGTTCTTGTGTACACCTCTGGGGTGGGCTGAATCCTGCTAGTGATATCCATCACGCTGTTGGTGATCTCCTGTTTTAATCATTTGAACCCCAAATCTGCCACAGTTTTAATGCTGCGTGAAATAAATGCGTGTAACCTGCATTTAGCAAGAACATAAGCATCTTCAAGTGCCAGGAAGCAAAACTGTGCAAAGCCCCTTCAGACGTTGCTTTTGTTTGACTTTAGTTAGTGCACGTCATTGTACTGCAAACAACCTGGACTGGCTGGGCTGTAAATTGCTCTTATAGCTATGGATTAAATTGACTTACAAAAACGAGTGTGGGGAGGCGCAGAGTTGCATCTTTTTCCACGGACTGTCCAAGCTTGGTTTTCTGAAAGAGAAACTACATCCCGCTGCCCATCTGCCCTGAAGATCTCACTGTCAGGGGCTTCCCTGAAGAGCAGGAGGAAGAGAAACAGGGTTCTTTCTAGGAAGGTAGCTATTGAGTTGAGAGTTAACAAAGTGGGTCTTACCGTTTATTAGACTGGGATTAAAAGTAATTTGTTAGTGAGGAATTTCCTGTTTGACCTAATGACCGGTGCATCCTCTGTTGTTGTCACTTGCTTTGCATTTGTGCATTATTTATTAGCCTCACTTAACCTGGCTACTGCTGGATGCCTTCCATGACCGATCGTTCTGTCCAGCAGGCTAACTCTGGGCTTTGACCTCTCTAGACTAGCTCTCCTGTTTCAGATAAGACCATCCCTGTAATTTCCCAGTAGGGGAGGGAAAAGAGTAAAAAAGATTATCTGCAGAGGGCTGTGACACAGCAGTGCTGATGCCTCTGAACTGACTGTGTTTCGGGCTTGTTTTGTTTCTGAGGTCTTTCTGGTTTTCTGATGCAGATGGGATTGTTATGGCTAGGAAATCTGCCCTCAGGGAAGAGGATTTTCTTTTTCTTTTTTTTTTCTTTTTAATTTGACTACCTTTTTATGTGTTGGACAAAATTGCATGGATTAGGGTTTCTCCCACAAAGCAATCACTTCAAGGTGAAACTAAAATATCAACAGTAATTTGTGTTAAGAGTTTTAACAGAAACCTTCCAAGGAAAAAGGGAAATCCCTAGGCTGATACAGTCAAAGTTCAGACTGCAGCTTTTCTTTAACCCGACTTCTTAACTTGTTCTTTTGAAAGGGTCAGGCTTTACTGGACATTTGAGAGTTTGAGGCACACCCACCAAACACACTCCAGTATTGTTAAAATACGTTAATGGTACTGATTGGATTGTAATTTTCAGGCTTTTTGATACCAACTCTCAAGGTTATTAAAAGTTTTGAAAGCACCACAGTCAAGTAGTTACAGTCAGATTTTCACAATACGTCACTGGGACTTCTGAATCGTACTGCGCACTTACGCTGCAGTACAGATTATACCTCGCTCTGTCTAGATTTAATGAGAGTGAACCAATAGCCTAGAATTTGGCTCCATCGGAGACGGATATATCTATTTCATCGGTGACTCCACAACCTCCCTGGGCAGCCTGGTCCAGGGCTCCGTCACCCTCAGAGGGAAGAAGTTCTTCCTCATGTTCAGACGGAACTTCCTCTGCTTCAGTTTGTGCCCATTGCCCCTTGTCCTGTCGCTGGGCACCACTGGAAAGAGCTTGGCCCCCTCCTCCTGACACCCACCCTTCAGATATTTATAAGCATTTATTAGGTCCCCTCGCACCCTTCTCTTCTTCAGGCTGAACAAGCCCAGCTCCCTCAGCCTCTCCTCATAGGGGAGGTGTTCCAGTCCCCTCCTCATCCTCATAGCCATCCTCTGGACTCTCTCCAGTAGCTCTTTATCTTT